AGAGAGAGACACAGCGAGAGAGGGAACACAAGCAGGGGGAGTGGGGGAGGGAGAAGTAGGCTTCCTGGGATCATGACCTGAGCCGAAGGCAGACGCTTAACGACTGAGCCACTCAGGCGCCCCATGAAGTGCTATATTTTCTAGTTATAAAATGTACATTCCCTATTATTATCTATATAAGATCTCCCTTTATAATGAAAATTATAACATCCATGAGAATCAGCATTAATGCCAACTTTGGGATATGTTGTAAAAGACTGGCCCTTTTGTGTGACTTCTCGGGCTGCCTTCCATTTCCAAAGCAAAGGAATATCTAGGAATAGTGAGACAAAGCAGTATCACCACTTTGCCTTTCAATGAGCAAAAAGATGGAGCTCATGTGTTCTAATCACTGCTTGTTATTCCTGGACTTAGTAAAAATTCAGAAAATTCTCTTGTAAGAGAAAACTCTGATCCATTGCCTTCCCTCCTTCCCCACTCTCAGTCCCTCCAGGCACTCAGAAAGACTACCCAGGGGGAAACCCAGGGATCTAGCTCTTGCTCTGAGTACCTTGGTGGGCCTTGGTGCATGAGTAGCAGTGACAGTGGTTGCTGCAAATACATCCTAGTACGGATGTATGCATACGTGCATAAAGAAGTTGAACCTTTCACAGTGTGTTTAAACACAAGCAAGTGAACATTAATGCCCTGATATCTTACTGTACAGCATACATGTTTTTGTATGAAAAAGTCTTTACCCTGAAATAGAAATCATTATGAAGGAATACAATGTATATATCATTTAAAATTCTTTTGTAATAGAATTATTTTCTTTATATGCATATATGCTGAGCAGTTATTAATCATTAAGAAACTTTTTATTACCACCCAGGACATTTAAAAAGTAAAGGGTGTTTCCTTCTAGTAGAATACTTTCTGAGAAAATGTGTATATGCTTATTTTAATAATGTAATTGAATTCTACCTAATAAAGAAAAACTTTGTGTGGAACACTTTTACATTGCTGCCCTAAAATCCTCTAATGAAGTGTTTAATGTCTGTATCACATTCCGGTCTATAATTTTTCTTAAATCTGTGGAAGCATATAGTGTTGGCATTCTTGGCGATCATAATGGCTGATTCATTCTCTTTGGCAGAATGCCCTTCTGCCTGCAGGGTTCCGGCAGAAGAACCAGACGTCAAAGTCCGCCACAGGGCCATTTGATAGAGAACACCTCCTTTCATACCTGGAGAAGGAGGCATTGGAGCATAAGGACAGGGAAGACTACGTGCCCTACACTGGAGAAAAAAAAGGTAAACACAGAACTTTGAAGTCATTATTTGATAGCACTTGATTTTTCTTTTTATAGGTAGGGTAGGTCTGGAGAAAAAGTATTTTTAGAGATGCATCATTAGTAGCCTTAAAGATGGGACACTGTTGACTTAAAAGCTTGTTAGGTAATTTGGCACTTCATTTGCATTTTTCATTATCTTGACCAATAAGTTCCTTTTTAATGATTTGTAAGTGAGGTTTTATAATACAGTGATTTTATGTAACACTCTAGTTCTCTACTGTAACAAATTTAAAAGTGTGTTGAGGTAAAAATTTTAAATTCACTAGTGTATTTCGGAATGCAAATGATGACAAAGCACTGCTCTGTTCTAACTCCTCTCTTTAAGGAGAAATGCCATAACATAATTCAGGCCATATTTTCAAAGACCCTTTTTAAAGGATATCATACAGGGGCGCCTGGGTGGCTCAGATGGTTAGGTGTCTGCCTTCTGCTCAGGTCATGATCTCAGGGTCCTGGGATCAGGCCCTGCATCAGGCTCCCTGCTTGGCGGGAAGCCTGCTTCTCCCTCTCCCTCTGCTGCTCCCCCTGCTTGTACTCTTTCACTCTCTCTGTCGAATAAATAAATAAAATCTTTAAAAATAATAAATAAAGGATATCATACAGCCTTCCTTAGTAATTCATAGCTATAATCATCAATGCTTCATAACCATTATTTTCAGGAAAGTTGTCTAGTCCAGGTCCCTCCCACTGCAGAGTTGGACCTTAGGTAAATTGAGTGAAGACTCAGTACAGCTATATATCTTAAAGTTCTCTATATAACACAACGTGAAGTAGGTTAAGTTTCTCAGCTTTCAGTCCAGGTTGGCCTGAGAAGCCACAGTGTACTTGCGCTCTTGTTGAGGGTATAGAACCCTCGGGGATGGTGGCAGCAATTGCAAGATCTGAAGGTGAGCTTTTCCAGGCACTTAGTAATCCAGACGGGAAGAACAGTGAGAGCATAGTGCTTTCTCCGAGTTAGGCTTTAGTTTTTTACTTAGGAAGGAAACCCTTCTCAAGAATTTGGCCATGGCTCTGTCACGTGGCTACCCCTTAGTGGCAAGGGAGGCTGGAAAATTCATTTTAGCATTCTAGCCTCTGTAATAGCAGAAGACTAGCAAATGACTTTTGAGTAGGTAATTCATGAGGTCTACATTAAGCCTTTTAAAAAATTATCTGTCATCCCCAACTCCTCTGCTCTTCACTAGACCCCACATTCCCCTTATCGCTAGTTCAGCATCACTACCATAGTTACTTGTATTAGAGTTCCCCAGAGAAACAGAAACAGAACCAAAAGGCTGTGTGTTGGGGAGAGGGTGAGATTTATTGTAAGGAATTGGCTCATGTGATTATGGAGGCTTATTAAGTCCAAAATCTGTAGGATGGGCCAGCAGGCTGGAGAACTAGAGAGGAGTTGCAGTTCAAGTCCAAAGGCAGTCTGCCAGCAGAATTCCTTCTTACTCAGAGGAGATCTGTCTTTGTTCTGTTAAGGCCTTCAGCTGATTGGATGAGGCCCACCACATATGGCTTTACTCAAAGTCCACTGATTTAAATGTCAATCTCATCTAAAAAACACCTTCCCAGAAACACCCAGAATAATATTTGACCAATTATCTGGGCACCATACCCAGCCAAATTGGCTCATAAAGTTAACCATGATACTACTGTTCAAGATGGGAATGTCTTGTCCCTCAGATGTTTAGGGCCAGAAAAAGGATTGAAAACCAGTGCATAGGTTTGAAGTGTGGGGAATCACATAGTTGAGCAAAAGCATCAGTTCCTTTGTGTTTCACATAGAAACAACTACTGGTTATGTTTTCATCTGAGCAGCCATACCTGTGTTGTTACACAGTGTTTATAGCTTCAGTCCTGTTTATATAGGAAAACATAATTTTATGAGAATAAATATTGATCACCTTTAACTATTGTGTATGTTTCAAGTAAACTGAAGAGGTATAATTAGGAAGAAGAATGGAGGTAGAAGCAGAGGGAGAGATGTGAGAAAAAGATGGCAGGAAAAAATGTGGAATTTGAGGACAAGAAGAGAAAATAAGAGATGTGAAAGAGCCGAGTTTGTCCTGAGCTGACCCACGAAGCTTCCCAGTATGCTCTTGTTTCATAATCTCCAGTTGCCTAGGGAAAGATCTTGGTGGATTAGAGGAAGTAGGAAAGAAGGTAGAGAAGAATTGTGGAAAACAAGAAAATATTAGAGGGGAGAAATTATAGGGGCGAGGAATATGAGGGACAAGGAAAAAAAAAACACTGTATCTTCAATTGGAGTGTAATAACTTCTGTTTCCTTTTATAACTTTTTAAAATTTTATCTTATTTCTTAGACTTTGGATGGGTATGAAATAAACAAATAGTTGAGTTAAGAAGCAGGTAATTTTGCATTCATAATCAGTGGGGTTTTTTTTTTTTAAGATTTTATTTTTGAGAGAGAATGTGCTTGTACGCACTCCTGTGTGTGTGCTCGCACATGTAGGGGGAGAGGGAGAAATTCAAGCAGACTCCCCACTGGCTCAGAATCCGAGGCAGGGCTCGATCTCACGACCCTGAGATCATGACCTGAGCCAAAAGCAAGAGTCAGACACCTAATCAACTGAGCCACCCAGGTGCCCCTTAGTGGCTTTCTTTTTATAATACATTCAGTATTTTGGGGGCACCTGGGTGGCTCATTCAGTTAAACGTCTGACTTCGGCTCATGTCATGATCTCAGGGTCCTGGGATTGAGTCTGCAAACTGGCACATCCAGATCCAGATTCTTATGATCAAGGGGCTTCATAATTGCCTCCTGTTTTCTCTTCAATTCCAGTTCAGGTCCTGACTTTTCTTTTGAAGCTTCTTCCACAGGCCCCTTCTGACTTTACTCTCCATATACTCTTTGAGGTCAGTCAAATCCATAACCATTCCTGTAACAGGATCAATCTCTCCATGCACCGTCACCAAACTTTGTAATTGTGCCATGGCCATTTAGATTGTTGCATTTCCCAAACAGTTTCAAGTTTTCTTCATTACTCAGAGATTTGCTGTGGAGTCGGTGGGTCGCACTGAAGGAGATGAGGCAGGACACTCGCTCCCGGGGGTGACTGCCGCCACACTCATCTCCTTGCCTCCTGGCTTAGCTGGCGGTGGGAGTCTAAATGTCTCTTATATGGACCTCTAAAAAGTGGTTTTCTCTGGCACCGAAGCTGGTATTTGAAATGGGCTGCTTAAGTTAATAATGCAGGTGCTGGTGTCTCCTTTTGAGACTGGTCACTGCATCTTTTGAACAATTCACTTATTACTCCTTTGGGGTACAGAGTTAGCCAGATGAGTCGTTCATCACTCACTTTAAGACCTCGTTTTATGGGAAACTTTCCCTGGATAACCGTATCCAGGAAATGAATATTCCTTTCCCTCTAACATTTTTGTATGTAATTTACATAGTATCGGATACTAGTGTTAATTGTTCTAGAATCATATACTATGAGGCTCTGTTATTAGTTTCTGTTTGTTTAGGATTGGTAAGTCCTCTTGACAAATTGACCATTTGTCATTATAAAGTGATCTTCTTTACCCCTGGTAAAATATTCTTTACTCTGAAATCTGCACTAATATTAATACAGCCAATCTTACTTTTCATTAGTGCTAGGATGGTGTATCTTTTCTCTTGTCCCATCAGTTCTTTGTTCTCTTTTCACTCCTTTTTTTTTTTTTTTTTTTATCTTCCATGTCTCTTAACTTTTTGGACCTATGGAATATAATTATAATAACTTTTAATATCCTTACCTGCTAATTTTACATCTGCCATTGCTCAGTTACGATGGATTATTTTTTCTTCCTTATGGATCAAATTTTCCTGCTTCTTACCATACTGGTCTTTTTTTTTTTTTTTTGATTCAGACATGAATTTTAACTTGCTGGGTGCTGGGTATTTTGGTATCCCTGTAAATATTCTTGAGTTTCATCCTGGAACATGATTAAGTTACTTGGAAACAGTTTGATTTTTAGGGTCTTGTTTTTAAGATTTGCTCGGTGGGACTGGAGCAGCGTTCATTCTAGAGCTAATTTTTTCTCCACTACTGGGGCAAGACCCTTCTGAGGTCCCTCTGCAGAGCCCTGTGATTTATGAGGTTTTACAGTCTGGCTGCTGGGAACAGGTCTTCCTCCCAGCCCTGCATGAGCACAGGCACTATTATCTGGCATCTTCCCAGGTGTGTTTTCCTTGGCCCCAGGTAGTTCCTCACACATGCGCTCTGCTGAGGATGGAAAGGCAGCCCTCTGCAGATCTCCAGATCTCTATCTCTGCAACTCTCTCCTCTCTGGTATTCTGTCCTGCAGATGCCAGCTGCTTTGGTCTTTCTGTCAGCTCTGTCTCCTCAGTTCAGAACATTCCCCAGGCCTTGCCTGGGTTCCTGCTCCCTTGTGCTGCAGCTGGACACTTTCTCTAGGCAGGAAGTTGAGCGGTCAGAGGGCTCACTTTGTTTCTCATGTCTCAGGGATCACTGTCCTTAGTTGCCTGATGATTATTAGTGTCTCGAAAACTTCTTTTATATATTTTGTCCATTTTGGGGTTTCAGGCGTGTGGGTAAATCCTGTCTTTATTATTTCACTTTGGCCAGAAGTCTTCAGAATCCTCTCTCCGCAAAGTTAAGATCTCCTATTTTCCTTGCAGTGTCTTTCTAGCTCATTATCTAGTATACACAAACTCACTAAGCATTTGTTGAATAAATGAGCATTTATTGGTGATCATACTGCAATATTGAGGAGCTATTGTGTCACTGGGTGAAAACAAAAATGCCTTTCCAGGATCCATTCATTCTTTAGTTTGGTTGATTGGAAGTTGGTGTGCATCTGGTCCAAAGGCATATCCCAAAGCCCCTCGGATATTAAAGTGGCCTCATTGCCATGTTTCTGTTCTGGAACAGGTAGCTTATAAACCAACAAACAGCAAAATTAGCTAGGGCCTTTCACCTCTGTAGAAATGAAATAAATAAGAGCCATCTCTGTTTCTTGTTATTACACTTTTTATATGCTCAGCAAGGCTGCAAAAGCTATGACTAAGATAACTTTTTTTTTTTTTTTTGACTAAGATAACTTTAACATTTGTGGTAGCTGTAATTGCTATCATAGCAAAAGAGATGAGGACTAGTAAAGAAAGGGTCTGGCAATGAAATTTTTAACATGGTTAACAGTATCTCTTACTGATTTTGTGACAATAACAAGGGTCTTGGCAAGATTTTCCCCTTTTTTCCCTCTTGGCACAAACAGTTTGGCTCAGTGCCATGCATATAAATTGCTATTATATGAATTCTTATCTTGGTTTCTTTTATTTCCTTAACTGTCATTGGTAGTTGCGTAAACATTACTGAATTATTTTAACATTCTTAGCAACCAAGAGCCATAGCCCTGTTTTTGTTTGTTTTGTTCCATTTGGGGGGTGAGGGGCATGTCCTGTCATACTTGTCTGATTTTTTTCCTGATCCTAGTCATTGTTTACTTTCTTATTTTGCTTCAATATAAAGAATTGTAATTTCAGTTTTTAAAAAATTCCAGTTTTGGACTTTGCTATGTTAAACAAGGAAATTAGTCATTTAGATTGAATGCTGTCTACTGAAGGACAAAAATGAACAGTTACTTCCTCAGACGTTATGTTATTTCAAATAAATGCGGTATATTAAAAGTTATAAGTTAGGGCTTTTTGACCATATTTCAAGGAGAGGGAAAGTAAAATTAGATTAGTCCAGGATAACTCATCCTAGTCTTTTCAGAACTCTAATCATAGAGATTAGTGGTTATCAATTTGAGTAGGTAATTATCAGAATCATCTAGGGAGCTTTTTCAAAAATAATCCATGCCTAGCCTATTTTCATTCCCTGAGTTTAAGAACTACTGATAAAGATAGTTGGGACTATATGGTTTTCAGTCTTCTTGGTTTGTTAGTTTGTTTTGGAAAACTCCATCTCTGTCTCTGTCTGTCACACACACATAATGCAAGAAATTCCAGGGGAAATAAGAATAAAGAATTAATGTGTATCTGTTATGTTTATTATATACCAATTCCTTTATATATGTTAAATCATTTTACCAGAATGAGATGGAGATTTCTTTAAAGAAATAATCCATGTTTTGAAAAAACACCAAAGAATCAAAATGATCATAATAAAGTAGAATACTGGTAAGTTTAATAGTTTTATGTAAAAGCAGTATTAGATCTGTTGTGCATTTTCTTACTGTCTGCAAAAACACCACCATACAAAATACCTCTACATGTAACAGAAGCCTAACATTTCACTCCTCCTGCAAGATACTGAGAACCGAACTGACCATTATAAAGATCTATTATATTTTGTCAGTGTCTCATAGTCATTAAAATTTTTAGGTTAAATCTAACTGATAAAAGACTGAATTAGGACACATGTTTAGAAAGGCATTTTCTGTTATATGGAATCAATCCACCGGTTTGCTAATGATGTATTTCTCAGAAAACAGCTGATTTTGGGTAAGAAGCACAAACCTGCTCTCTTACTCAATATGTCTCAGAAAATTATCTTTTTTCTTTACATTTTAGGGGTGAATATAAATTTACTTGGGAAGACAGAAAGCCTGTATTTAACATATCAGCCCCTTAATGGTTTTTTGAAAATCTTTATTAAGATGCAATCCACATCATAAAATTACCTGCCTGGAGTATACAATTTAATGGTTTTTAGTATATTTGCAGAGTTATGCAACTGTCACCACAGTCTTCGGGTTAGAACATTTTCATCACCCAAAAAGAAATCATCTACCTACCCATTAGCAGTCAATCGCCATTCCTCACTCTATTCCCAGCCCTAAGAAACAACTAACCTACTTTCTGTCTCTCTAAATTTGCCTATCTGGACATTTTGTATAAATAGAATCATACAATTATATTTATGATGGGCTTCTTTCACTTAGCAGAATATTTTGGGGTTTCATCCCTGTTGTAACATATATCAATGCTTCATTTCTTTTTATGGCTGAATCTTGTGTCATTGTATGGATATACCACATTTTATCCTTTCATCAGTTGATGGACTTTTGGATTGTTTCACTTTTTAGCTATTATGAATAATGCTGCTGTGAATATTTGTGTACAAGTTGTTGTGTAGACACAAGTTTTCATTTCTCTTAGGTGTATGCCTAGGAGTGGAATTACTGGGTCATATGGTAACTATGTTTAACAGTTTGAGAACTGCCAAACTGTTTTCCAAAGCGGCTGCACCATTTTACATTCCCACCAGCAATATATTAGGGTTCCAGTTTCTCCACATCTTTGTCAACACTTGTCTGTCCTTTTGATTATAGTCATCCTAGTAGTTGTGAAATGATAATGTGTTGTGGTTTTGATTTGCATTTCCCCAGTGACTGTGATAGTGAGCATTTTTTTCATGTGCTATTAGACATCTGTGTATCTTCTTTGGAGAAATGTCTCTTCAAATCTTTTGCCCATTTTTAAACTAGGTTTTTAAAAATTATTCTGCTAGGTCCCTCGAGGCAAGGGAAACAAAAGCAAAAATAAACTATTGGGACTACATCAAAATAAAAAACTTCTGCACAGCAAAGGAAACAATCAACAAAACTGAAAGGCAACCTACTGAATAGAAGATATTTGCAAATGACATATCTGATGAAGGGTTAATATCCAAAATACATAAAGAACTCAAACATCTCAATACCCCAAAACCAAACAATTAAAAAATGGGCAGAAGACATGAACAGACATTTCTCCAAAGGAGACATTCAAATGGCCAACAGACACATGAAAACATGCTCATCAGCACTTCATCATCAGGGAAATGCAAGTCAAAACTACAATGAAATACCACTCATACCTGTCAGCATGGCTAAAATCAAAAACAGAAGAAACAACAAGTGTTGGAGAGAATGTGGAGAAAAAGGAACCCTCTTGCACTGGTGGTGGGAATGCAAACTGGTGCAGCCACAGTGGAAAACAGTATGGGGGTTCCTCAAAAAGTTAAAAATAGAGGGGCGCCTGGGTGGCTCAGTTGGTTAAGCGTCTGCCTTTAGCTCAGGTCATGATCCCAGGGTCCTGGGATCGAGCCCCGTGTTGGCTCCCTTCTCGGCAGGGACCCTGCGTCTCCCTTACCCCGCCTTGTACTCTCTCTCTCTCAAATAAATAAATAAAATCTTTAAAAAAAAAAAAAAAAGTTAAAAATAGAACTACCCTACAGTCCAGCAATCACACTACCGGGTATTTACCCAAAAATGACAAAAACAAAGGGATACATGCACCCTTATGTTTATAGCAGCATTATTTACAATAGCTCAAGTGTTCATCAATAGATGAATGGATAAAAAAGATGTCTCACACACACACATACACACACACACACGCATGAATGTTACTTAGCCATAAAAAAGAATGGTATCTTGTCATTTGCAATGACTTGGATGGAGCTAGAGAGTATAATGCTAAGTGAAATAAGTCATACAAAGACAAATACCATATGATTTCACTCATATATGGAATTTAACAAACAGAACAATTGAGCAAAGAGGAAAAAAAACATAAACCAAGAAACAGACTCTTAACTATAGAGAACAAACTAATGGTTACCAGAAGGGAGGTGGGTAGGGGGGTGGGTGAAATAGGTGATGGGGATTAAGTAGTACACTTGCTATGATGAGCACTGAGTGATTAAAATAAAACCTTAAAAAAATTCCTGATGTTTTACATCAGTCAGTTGATTTAATATTGATGAGCTTTCTTTATGTATTCTGGATACAAGTTCCTTATCAGGTATATGATTTGAAAAAATATTTTTACTATTCTGTAGATTTTCTCTTCACTTTCTTCATGGCATCATTTGCCCCACAAAAGTTATAAACTTTGGTGTACTTCAGTTTATCTTTTTTTTTTTTTTTTGGTCATTTGTGTTTGTGGTAGCATATCTAAAAACCTTTGCCTAACTCAGGGTCATGGAAATGTACAGCTTTTTCTGAGTGTTATAGTTTTAGCTCTTAAATCTAGGTCTGTAATCCATTTTGAATTACTATTTCTGTATGGTATGGGGTAGGGGGTTGACTTCATTCTTTTGTAGGTAGCTATCCAGTTCTCCCAGCACCAATTGTTGAAAAGACAATTCTTTCTCCATTGAATTTTCTTGGTACCCTTGTCCTTATGCAGCATAACACTGTCTTGATTACAGTAGCTTTGTATTAAGTTTTGAAATTGGGAAATGTAAGTCCAATATTGTTCTTCTTTTTCAAGATTATTTGGCTGTCCTTGGTCTCTTGAATTTCCATGAATTTTAGCATTACCTTGTTACTTTCTGCAAAAAAAGTCAGCTGAGATTTTGAAAGAGATTGTTTAAGTCTATAAATTAATTTGGGGGGTCTCCTTAGGTTTTATACTCATAATATTAAACTTCATTTTTGCCTAGTTTATCCTTTCTTATAAAATTAAGTTTCCTTACTGTTAGTTTTCTATAAATAGATTTTGTGTATATGCATTAAAAGACCATTGTTACAGTGTTAGTGTTAAACTAACCATGAAGAAATACCAAGTAATTACTTTTCATATTGTTAAAATAATTGTATAGGCTAAATACCTCTATAACAAAAATGTCTATATACAGAGAATTTATTATAAAGAGGAGCACCAGGTGAGGTACCAAACTGTCTCAGAGCTGTATAAATTAACAGTGAAATTCTGTATCAGAGGAAAATTTCCATAAGCCCTTTGAAATTTTGTTGTTTTGCTTTGTTGTTTTTTTGTTTTGTTTTGTTTTGTTTTAAAGATTTTATTTATTTATTTGAGAGAGAGAATGAGAGACAGAGCACGAGAGGGAAGAGGGTCAGAGGGAGAAGCAGACCCCCCCGCTGAGCAGGGAGCCTGATGTGGGACTCGATCCCGGGACTCCAGGATCATGACCTGAGCCGAAGGCAGTCGCTTAACCAACTGAGCCACCCAGGCGCCCTGCTTTGTTGTTTTTTATGATGAGATTCATTTTGTTTTTGTAAGTATTAGCAAAAGTTTATGTACGGTAAAAATTAGATATGAATAATGCCTCTATGGAATGTAGATGAGGATAACAAAAATAAACATTTTAGATTTTTATAATGCTTTAGATTCCATTGGTCCCTAGAATTAAGACATGGGCAGCTATTTGATAGCTTGCGTAGTTTTGTTTAGTAAGTGAATACCATAACCTAGTGGTTCTCAACCTTGACTGCTATGCATTAGAATCCCTAGGGAGCTTTTAAAAATCCAGATGTCTCATATAGCACACCAGATCAATTAAATCAG